CACTGTGAATGATTGTGATGTTCTGCGTGTTTTATTGCTCAAAGAGTATAAAGTGCTCAGATATGAGTGATATGTGAGAGATACCCCCTTGTGTAAGCAGGGCTTATAATTTATAAAAACCTCCTAACAAATTGAGGTGTCATTCTCGTAACAGGTAAGACAATTCAGTGGAGGTCGCATCATTCTCGTAACAGGTGAGACAGCTTTGTGGAGGTGGTGTCATGCACTCGATGATTACGTCCCACAGAGATTTCCTCATGTTACAGTTGTGGACTGAGTCTCTCAAGATTGTGCGACTGACTTGACCTAGCTTCCTCCATCTTGTGGTAGACTTGCCCTGTATGTGTTGAGGTGGGCTTAGTCTGTGATTCTTGACTGGGCCTGGTCTAAGCTTGACTTGTCATTTTCCCCCCTATGCCCCGATTCCAATGAGATTTAGGGGAGAGGGCATCAGTAAAAAATATTGCCTTTTTCTTCTTTTAATAGTTGAACTCTGATGAGGTAGAGATAAACACAACAGGGTTATAGAGGATGAGTTGTGGGTGGGCTCACGAGAGAGTTGTACCTCTTGAGGCTGAGTTTTTGGAGGCCGAGGCTGCTTGCGTGAAAGCAGAGGTAGAGTTTGGCCGATCTTTTGGCGACTTGAGAGATTTTCCCCCAAGAGAAGAAGAGGAGGATGAAGTGGCAATGAGGGTAGCCAAAGGGCGCTGGGTACTGGCACCTAGGCGTTGAGCGCTAGCATTGGCGCTTGGACGTTGGTGGTATATGAGAAAAGCATGAGAAGTGGCAAAATTTTAAACGGCTATAACTTTTCACTCAGTTATCCGTTTGGGGTAAAAAAAAAATTTTTGAATCTTGGTATTTTTTTTTGAGATCTATCAGAATCAAACTGGCTACAGTGGTTTGGACATCGAATTTTCCTAAAAAATGTCTATTTTCTACTAAATTTGAAAACAACCACAAATTAGTGAAGAAAAAGAATTTTCATATACCATGTTCCATTCGTGGGAAAGGACAACCTTCATTCTGAATGGATGAAATCATAGTTCCCAAGGTGAGTAATATTTCGAGTAAATGCCGAAATTGCTTGGATTGTCTATACTTTTTGTATTTCCCTATAGTTGAGGACTCAACTTGCTTGGCTTTGATGACATACTCAGCGTTCATGTATTTCTGGGATTTTGATAGTAATTATAGCATGTTCTTCGGCGGCGCTTCAAAGTTAAAAACATAAAACTGGATGAGTGCAGACCTTTTGTGAAAACTGCCATGGCGACTTTGTTATCAGGCTCTTCAATTTGGGGGTCCTCGTTAAAATGAGTAAGGTAACTACTTAAACTTTCATCCCGGTCCTATTTGATGCTGAACATGTGGGTGATAGGCTTCTGGTGTCGACATCCCCCAACTAAGTGTGAGATGAATGACTTGCTTAGTTCAGCAAAAGAGTCAATGGAAGCCAGGGTAAGTTTGGCAAACCACTGGCAAGCAAATCCCTTGAGGGTGATGGGGAAAGCGTTGCACATGATCTCATTTGGTATGTTGTGCAGCTGCATTAGGGATTTGTAGGTGTCAATTTGGTACAGTGGATCTTTGGAGTCATAAAAAGCTTCCATGGTTGGCATCTTTAACTTTGGGGGGAGAGGGTAGTTGACCACATTAGCAACAAAAGGCATGTCAGTACGCCTCACAAGGTACTCAACCGTTTCAACCCCTTGCACCTTCATGGCATTGATGACATCGTCGATTTGGTTCTGCACTTCTTTGATTTTTTCATCATAATGGTTGGTGGCGCCTTTTGAATGGTCATTGTAGTGGCTTTGGTCCACATACTGGTTTTCTCCCCTCATCTTCTAGGATAAGAGGGTCACCAGCATGGGAGAATGGATCTGGCATGTGAGGAAGGGGAGCGGAGGCACCTTGGTGCTAAGGAGGGATACCCTAGCGCTGCAAGGGGGCGCCTTGGGCGAAGTGCCTAGGGTGCTTCCCCTCCTAGGAGCTAGGGCACGACTCCTTGAGGTTGCCTGACGAGCATCAACTAGAAGATCTGCTGATTTTGGTTCACCAACGACCATATTGTCTCTAGTAGTTGTTGTCCGACTATGGGGTTCGCCACAACGACGGGGTTTACTAGCAAGGGTGGGACCTCATTGTGACATGGTGGATTATTGTCTTCCACTTGTTGGTTCATGGATTTAGTTGTAATAACCTTAAAATGAAAAGAGAATAAGAAATAAAAAGACAGTAAGATGAAAACTAAGTTATTCTCACAGACGACGCCGAACTGATGATACACAAAATGTATTTATGCACCACCTGTCAAGTATTAAATACAATAAAACATTTACTGCATTTAAGTGGTTCAGTTAGTGTGACATATTCTACTGTGAAGGGTTATGATGACTTGAGTGTTTTATTATTCAAGGGTTGTAAAGTGCTTAGATATGAGTGATATGTAAGAGATGTTCCCCTTGTGTAGGTGGGATTTACATTTTTAAGTGCTTCTTAATAGATTGAGGCGTCATTCTCATAACAAGCGAGACAGTTTTGTGAAAGTGGCGTCATGCTCTCGATTATTGTGTCCCACAGAAATTTTCTCATGTTATAGCTGTAGACTGAGTCTCTCAAGATGGCGCAGCTGACCTCACTTATCTTTCTCCATCTTGTGGTGAGTTTGGTCTGTATGTTTAAAGTGGGCCTAATCTGCAATTTTGGACTGAACCTCTGAGTTAGGTCTGGTCTGGACTCGACCCGTTAATTACAATTAAACTTATGATTTGACAGCCAAAATATTATTACTATTTGAGTTTACATAAATATATCTTTATGAAAGTTTATTTTACCCAAGTAGTATTGACATTTGATGTATCTCATTTGCCTTCGCAAACAATAACGAAAAAATTCATTAAATAAGAAGGAAGCCCTTTTTTCTTTGTGAGACTCTTAATTGGTTTATAACAGTAAAAACATTGAGAACAGCCAACAACTATATTGATTAGCTAAATATTCTGACATCATTCGAGAAATTCACGAAGGTCAAACAAAATTTGATGGCACCCTGTCTAACCACTGACTAAAAATTACCGGATTTTTTTGAAATGCCACCACAATAGCCGTCATAAAATCTCAAAAACAAATTTATAATAGTGTAACGATCCANGGTCAAACAAAATTTGATGGCACCCTGTCTAACCACTGACTAAAAATTACCGGATTTTTTTGAAATGCCACCACAATAGCCGTCATAAAATCTCAAAAAAAAATTTATAATAGTGTAACGATCCGTCTTAAATAATATTTAAAACAACAAATAAATTTTTTGTGATAATATTATTGTTATCATTTTCTATAAAAAAAATTATCTAAAAAAACTCTAATTCTTTGTAGTAGGCAGTGTACGTTANCAAATTTATAATAGTGTAACGATCCATCTTAAATAATATTCAAAACAACAAATAAATTTTTTGTGATAATATTATTGTTATCATTTTTTTTTTCAAAAATGCATTTTTTTGTTATGGTGTACACACCTGCTATAAAAAAAATTATCTAAAAAAACTCTAATTCTTTGTAGTAGGCAGTGTACGTTATAGCACCAACTTCAAAAATCTATTATAAATTTCTTTAAGAACCATCGTCAAAACCGGTACAGCACATCACTTGGAAAATTCAAACCAGGTTGTCCGTCACAAATTCCCGTGCTACTCGCTATAAATTAATCAAGTACACATAAAATAATGACACAATCAATCGATCAAAGTCAATCTTGAAGTAACAAAACAATGAAGCAGAATGGGATCTACGAAACTGCCGAAGCTAAAATGTATTCTTGCCTCTATAAACAGAAGACTTGAAGCATAATTGAATCTTAATTACTTATAATAAAATACTCCAAANGTCAAAGTCAATCTTGAAGTAACAAAAAAATGAAGCAGAATGAGATCTACGAAACTGCCGAAGCTAAAATGTATTCTTGCCTCTATAAACAGAAGACTTGAAGCATAATTGAATCTTAATTACTTATAATAAAATACTCCAAAGCATCTAGATTTATCACGGGGGAACTACAACTCAATAATTTATTAATAATAAAATCACTAAACATAATAACATATTGGGTAAAAATTTAATAGCGGTCCCTAAAGTATGCCTTTGCGTCAATTCGGTTTTCTTTCTTTCGGTTGTGTCACTTAATCCCTTAAGTTTTTAATTTGTGTCAACTTGGTCTAATCAAAAATGGCAGTTTTAGTTGGCTAACATAGACATCCATTGCAACATTGGCAGTTTTTNCGGGGGAACTACAACTCAATAATTTATTAATAATAAAATCACTAAACATAATAACATATTGGGTAAAAATTTAATAGCAGTCCCTAAAGTATGCCTTTGCGTCAATTCGGTTTTCATTCTTTCGGTTGTACCACTTAATCCCTTAAGTTTTTAATTTGTGTCAACTTGGTCCAATAAAAAATGGCAGTTTTAGTTGGCTAACATAGACATCCATTGCAACATTGGCAGTTTTTAATTCCTTTAATTTTTATTTTGTGTTAATTTGGTCCTTTACATTTGCAATTGATGTCCCTTTACTCCCTTACATTTCTAAAACTTGCCCTCCAAGTGTGGTTACGAGAGATATAAATGACCATCTCTATCACTCAATTGAAACCGCCATTTTTAATTAGAGAAAAGTGATACAACCTGAATAACTGAGGGACCAAATTGGTACAGTTAAACAATTTGGGACTAAACGACACAATGAACATAATTTGGGGCCTGAAATTTATATTTTGCCCAAACAAGTTGCAAAAATAATAGGATTGACTTGGTTTCATCTCCAACACCATTTAAGTTGTAAATCTCATTACGACACATAAATATAAACAATGTATAACAAACATAAGACCATACATTGGAGAAAATTCTGTTCTTAGTCCATGGCTTCTCTTCAATACCTCTGTTCTTGTAGCCACCACCAGCGTTCTATTAGATCACATGAATTTAGAATGAAGAAGTTCAATATGAGAAGGTATAGTATAAGGTGTGAAGAGAAGAACGAGAACAAAAGGCTTCGAGTTTTGATAGCTGGTGGTGGTATTGGGGGGCTAGTGCTGGCTCTGGCAGCGAAACACCAAGGATTCGACGTGAAGGTGTTTGAGAAAGGATCGAGTGCAGTGAGAGGTGAGGGTACGGATCGTGGCCCGATTCAACTGTCCAGTAATGCCATGGCAGTGTTGGAAGCCATTGATAAGGATGTCGCGAGGCGGATCATGGAAGCAGCTGGCTGCATTACCGGCAATAGGATCAATGGCTTTGCCGATGGCCTTTCAGGGAAATGGTATGATCCTATCTGAATTTTGACTACTGTTTGCAAGTTGTGTCTGTTCTTGACTTGTAAGTCATCTTGGCACATACAGGGGCGGAAGCAGAAATTGAACCCGGAATTTTAACTACAAAATTTAACTTGTTTCTCCAAATCGATATAAATACATGCAAAATTAGTAATCGTTGTACAATTGTTAGAGAATAGGATAGTGGCCAATGAATAATCTCATTAAACATATTTTGTATGGATTTTTTTTACTCTCAATGATAAGCTTTGAACTTTGGTTTTCATAGTTATAATTGCCTCCTTACCTTTTGTTCAGGTTAGCCAAGTTTGATCTTTGGACTCCAGCTATTGAAAGGGGGCTTCCTATTACTCAAGTAATATGTAGAATGGCATTGCAGGACATCTTATTCAATGCAGTAGGACAAGACACTGTCAGTACCAACTCTAAAGTTGTGGACTTCGTAGAAGACTGTAACAAGGTTGGAATTAAAATTGAAATGTCATACCATATAAGTTTTATTTGTAGTCGAGTTAATCTGTATCCGATCAGTTCCAACCCCTTATACCATGGTGTAGGTCACAGTGATCCTTGAAGATGGACGGCAATATGAAGGTGATATTTTGGTCGGGGCGGATGGGATCTGGTCAGATGTATGCAATTTTTTTACTTGTCTCTCTTTGTATATTGCTTTAATGAACTGATTCTTCTTCTTCCGATTAATTTCTAAGCTTTGTTTTGTGAGTTTGTAGGTACGTTCGAAACTATTTGGGGCACAAGAAGCAATATATTCAAATTATACATGCTATAGTGGACTAACAAATTTTACACCATCATATACTGACTTTATTGGGTATGCATTTTGGTTTGGTATTATTTTCATTTTTTGGAAGAGTGGAGGAGAGAGGGGGGGAGGGGTCCTCTATGGTTATGTGGGAAAATTACCTTTTGACACCATTAACTATTCACTCAACCTCACTTTCTCCCATTAACTAGCATTTTTCACATTTTCTCCTCAACTATTTGTATTTTGTTTCGCACTGTCCTAATCACAATCGTTCGTTGTCTTTTGGAAGAAAATTGTCAAAACGGGTCTCGGATAAAGTGAAACAAAACACAGTTTTTTTTTTAAAAACAAAACACATAGTTAAAGGGGTAAAATTAAATAATTTTTCGTCAAATTTGTAATAGTTGAATGTCCGATGTGAGAAACATGTTATTGTGGTGCTTTGCCATGAAGATATCGGGTATTCTTGGGATCAAACCAATACTTTGTTGCTGTGGATGTGGGAAAGGGGAAGATGCAGTGGTATGCATTCCATAAAGAGCACGCCATGAATTCTAATCCTTCTTCAGGTAAGTATCTCTCAATTTAATTACGCGACAATGAGCCCGTTTGGAGCTGACATTTTTGGATTTGAAACATAAGTTTAAAAAGTGAAATAAAAAGGAGAGTTAAAAAAACTCTTTGAACTATTTGAAGTGTTTTTGAAAAAAATCAATTTTTCCTTGAAACTTCTTGGATAAGCCCCATTTTTCAATTTTAACTTAGTGCTGATAAAAGTTGCTTTTACCTAATAAGCTTATGGAATAGCAGTCCAATAAGCCTGGCCCCAAATGGACCCGACTTTTTTTCCTCTATAACAAAAAAAAAAACTGAGGTTTTAGTCAACTTCAAGCAGACCCAGTATTGCTATTTGGCTTGGACTTGTTCTAAAAAAGTTGAGGTTTGCAACAACTCTATTTTAGGAGTAAATATTCAATATATATAACAGTTACACCACATTAATACTGACACATGATGTAACCATTCGATAATAAATAAACAAGTGAATAAAATGAACTCCATTTTTTGTGATTCACCTTTGGACTTCTTAGCATATCATTAGATAACTATACCATGTGTCTGATGTGGTGTAACCACTACATTGAATATTTTCTTCTATTTTAGAGGATTACGCATATGAATTCCTCATTTTAAAAAAAAAAATAGGGACAAATAACACTTTGCTCCTTGAAAGATTTTTATTTTCTTGTTTTACACTCAAAATATCCCTACTTCTTTTTCAAACTAATACTTTGGCTACATAAAAAGGTAGCAATTTTGGTCCACTTTAATCAAATTTAACAAAAAAGATTATATTAAATACTTGAACTTGAGTAATATCCAGATTACTTAGCATAGAAATAAGAAATTTTAAATGATTTCAAAACAAAAAATTGTCAAGTAAATGTGTGATTTTGGATCACATTGATACATTTTAATCTGATCAAGGGTCAATCTAGAAATTCTAATTTTTTTTTAGTGTATAAAATGAGAATATGAAGATCTGTTAAGGTGCAGAGTGTTATTCACCCAAACAAAATTATAATCTTTGTTGTTGTAGGTAAAAAAAAGAGACTGTTGAAACTATTCAAGAGTTGGTGCAGTGAAGTGAATACACTAATTTCAAAAACAACAGAGGGCATGATTTTAAGGAGGGACATTTATGACAGAGACATGATCTGTTCCTGGGGAATTGGACATGTGACCCTGTTGGGTGATGCTGCTCATCCTATGCAGCCAAATCTTGGGCAAGGAGGTTGCATGGCAATTGAGGTGTGTTATTGTTTAGGCACATCTTGTTAAATCATCCTCTATTTCAAAAGATTAAATTATCGAGAGAATATAACTTAAATATTTATACTTCAACACATCTCATCTCTAGTACATTAGACAAGATCAATCTGATGGAAACTCCTCTTGGTTCTCTCTTCAATAGGTGGTTCTAGTCCAATTCACAGCAAGGTCAGTGCATCGAGAATATTATTTAGGGTAAATTTCATAATTAGTCATTAAATTTTGACTTCAATTTTAATTTGGTCCTTGAACTTTTAATTGTCCCAATTTAATCCGTCAACCTTCAATTTCATCTTAGTTAAGTCCTTTTAATCAATTTTCACTGTTAGATGAAATGAAAACATGATCTGAAAGTGAAAATTGATCAGATCAAACTAGTCTCCATTTGATCCAACGGTAAAAATGAACGGAAATACTTAATTGAGATGAAATTTATAGTTGAGATACTAAATTTGGACAATTAAAAGTTCAGGGACCAATTATGATTTTTACCTTGTTGTTTATAATTGGTCGAATGGCCCTCCGTCAGCCTATTATATCTCACTAGCATTTTTTTTAGCTTGGCTAAAGTAGATGAAGATGTGTAGTTTCTTAGGAATTAAATGGCATAGAGATGAGAAGACTGATTAATACTCATATTACATAAGTCAACGGAAAAAATAATTAGAAGAATATTCTTTTCTCAAGTACTCCAAAAATATACTCAATTGAACTAAATCTTGTCTCCATCATTTTTAGGGTCGACTATTGCCTAAATCAATCTCTGGAAACTTCAAAAATATCCTTGCCGAAGTAATGATGATTTAGTGACATTTTTTGCAGGATTGTTACCAACTTATACTTGAGCTTGAGAGGGTTTCCAAAAGAAGCTCTGATGTTGGCCTGGCTAGTGCAATAGCCTCAGCACTTAAAAGGTACTTAGTGCATATTTAGAATCTCCTCAATTGGCTTATTTTATCTACAAAGAATGCCAAAGTTCTTCCAAAGATCAAATTTTCGTTTTGTTTTCATCGAAACGATCAAAACAAAATGAAATCGGTGATTGTTTCAAAAAAAAAAATCTGAATCTTTCAAAATCAAAATCTTTAATTTTTTTTTTTTTTGCTGTTTTTATATATTTTTTAACATATTTTTGTTTCCAAGCTAACCAAAACTCTACACCACACAGATACGAGAAGAAACGAATGCTTCGTGTCAGCACAGTACATGCAGTGAGCCGTTTGGCATCCAAAATGCTTTCCTATTACCAGCCCTACATTAATTTTGGATATGGCCCTCTGTCTGTAAGTTCTGTGTGCCCTTTTTTTGTAGCTTTGATCTCTTCAATATTTTGTTTTAATTTATCCTTGAGTTAAACAAGTGGCTCAGTGCACGAGGTAATCCGCCACATTGGAATCTGTGGAGAGTGTGTAAGAGTGGCAAATTTTCACACGACCCGAATCTATCACTAAATTAGCAGATTAGAGTTCATTAATTCTCGACACAAATCTGAAGATGACATGATATTGCTTGCACGAATTGATGAGCCCAGATTTAATTGGGTCAAGCCCAATTCATGTAGTAAGTCCAAATTAACTAAAAACAGGTCAAGTCTAGCTCATGAATTCGGTCAAGTCCAAAGTTCAAGGAGTCCAGCAAGATCAACACATGTAAAGAGTAATTATCGAGGTAGCCACTTTCAAAGATCACACTTATCTTTAATTGTACCTATATTTAGCTATAAGTATCCACTCCGAAGGACTAGTCACCTATCCCTTCACGCCACCGTCTAAACTAAGCTTCCGTGCCTATAAATTGTAAACCACACATAAGAGACATATCTATACATCACACACACATCTAGCTTTCTCATAGTTACCTCATCATACCTACAACTTACTTTTGCTCCTTCTCTATCATTAACTACTTTATCAATAAAGTCTTACGGCCATCGTTGCCATCTTCAAAGTAGAGTAGGTTACCCTGACCGAACCACTGTAAATTTGTGTGTTGCTTGTATTTATCTCGTCCATATATTTACTACATTTATTATCTATATTAATTATTTGATAGGGGGTGCATAAATCCACTTTTGTACATCATCAATTTGACATCATCTGTCAAAAACAACTAAGTTTTCTAATGTCTTTCTATTTTTTTTCAAATCCATGGCAATCACAACTAGAATGATGAATCAACAACTCAAAGACAACAACCTAGCTCGTCGATAGGGAGGCTCCGCCTCCTCCTCTACCAACAGAACCATCCATTATAGGAAATCTTATGGCCGGACAATAACTTTTGGAGACTGTGTAGTTGTTGGAGAGTCAAAACCAACAAATTCTCTAAATAATGCTTGTCTTAGGAGGCATCACCCCCCAGCAACCAAGAGCAGCTGCACTCCCTCCAATAGGAGAGTTCCCACACCTTCTCCCCTCTAGACGCAAAGGTGCCCCCTAGGGCAGCACCTTGCGTCAGGGCACTCCCATGTAATGCCCAGGTGCCCCTTGACAGAGAGTCCCCCCTTAGCGCCCAGATGCCTCATAGCCTCCGCCTCCTCATATACCTGTTCCGCCCCTGGATGCTGTCGGTCATCCTGGGCAGGAAGATGAGGGAGAGAACCAGTATACAGATTATGAGAGCTACTATAATAATCCAACATAAGGTATCCCAAACCAATGGAACAAAAATATTAAGGAGTTTAAAACTAACTTGCTAATGCCCTCAACGCCATCAAGGCACAAGCACCCGAAATAGTAAACTACCTGGTAAGGCATACTGACACTCCATTTGTGGCAGATGTTGTCAACTACCCTTATCTTCAAAATTCAAGATGCATTTCATTGAGATCTTTGATGGCACTAAGGACCTCTTTGATCATCTTGACACATACAAATCTCTCATGCAACTTCACAATGTGTCTGACGAGATCATGTGTAGAGCTTTTACTACCACCCTTAAGGGATCTGCATGAAAGTGGTTCATCAAGCTCAAGCCTTCTTACATCCACTCCTTTGAGGAGTTAAACAAATCTTTCTTCTCTCACTTCATTGGGGGACACCGATACCAAAAGTCAATTATCCAATTGCTCACCATCAAATACAATCAGGATGAAAACCTAAAGAGCTAACTTACTTGTTTTAACGAGAGGACTCTCCAGATTAAGGAACCAAACAACAAGGTGACCATGGCAACCTTCATTACAAGTATGCGTTCATCTTGTTTCATGTTCTCTGTCTTAAAGAAGCCACCATCCAACATGCCCGAGCTACTTTAAATAACACAAAAGTACATGAACGTCGAGGACATCACCAAAGCCAGACAAGGTGAGTCATCCCGTGGAGGTGAGAAAAGAAAAGATACCTGCAAAGACAAAAGAGAAGTAAAGAATCAGAGGAATAAGACAGAAAGAGTCTCTATCAAGAACCACTTTGGTCCCCCTCCTCTGATAGAGCGACAAGCCTTTACGCCACTCAATACTTCGATGAAGCATATCCTGTTCCAAATATAGGATAATCTTACACTAGCCAGGGAAGATGAAGACTGCTCCAAACTGTAGGAGCCTGAACAAGTATTGTCATTTCCATTGCAACCATAGCCACGATACTGATGACTACTTTGATCTTAAAAGGCATCGATGAGGTCATACAACGTGGAAAGTTGCTGCAATATGTTGTTGGCAGAGGACAAGCCCCGTTGCCTAATAGAAACCAAGATGACAAAGAGCATCAGCAACTCCTCGAAGAGATCCAGATGATCTCCAGAGGGTTAGGAGGAGGAGATGACTCCCACTTTGCCCGGAAGGAGCATGTTAGGAGAGCTAGACAAACGGAGTCAAATGATTTTTGCCTGATGAAGACGCCCCGACACGGGGAAGAAGAAGTCATCTCATTCTCAGACAAGGACCTTGAGGGGATCCAATTCCTTCATGATGACCCTCTGATTTTAATCATGATGGTAGTCAACTACCAGGTTAAGAGAATTTTGGTGGACAGTGGCAGGTCTACCGACATCCTCATCTAGGTAGGGAAAGACTACAGCCCNCCTCTAGACGCAAAGGTGCCCCCTAGGGCAGCACCTTGCGTCAGGGCACTCCCATGTAATGCCCAGGTGCCCCTTGACAGAGAGTCCCCCCTTAGCGCCCAGATGCCTCATAGCCTCCGCCTCCTCATATACCTGTTCCGCCCCTGGATGCTGTCGGTCATCCTGGGCAGGAAGATGAGGGAGAGAACCAGTATACAGATTATGAGAGCTACTATAATAATCCAACATAAGGTATCCCAAACCAATGGAACAAAAATATTAAGGAGTTTAAAACTAACTTGCTAATGCCCTCAACGCCATCAAGGCACAAGCACCCGAAATAGTAAACTACCTGGTAAGGCATACTGACACTCCATTTGTGGCAGATGTTGTCAACTACCCTTATCTTCAAAATTCAAGATGCATTTCATTGAGATCTTTGATGGCACTAAGGACCTCTTTGATCATCTTGACACATACAAATCTCTCATGCAACTTCACAATGTGTCTGACGAGATCATGTGTAGAGCTTTTACTACCACCCTTAAGGGATCTGCATGAAAGTGGTTCATCAAGCTCAAGCCTTCTTACATCCACTCCTTTGAGGAGTTAAACAAATCTTTCTTCTCTCACTTCATTGGGGGACACCGATACCAAAAGTCAATTATCCAATTGCTCACCATCAAATACAATCAGGATGAAAACCTAAAGAGCTAACTTACTTGTTTTAACGAGAGGACTCTCCAGATTAAGGAACCAAACAACAAGGTGACCATGGCAACCTTCATTACAAGTATGCGTTCATCTTGTTTCATGTTCTCTGTCTTAAAGAAGCCACCATCCAACATGCCCGAGCTACTTTAAATAACACAAAAGTACATGAACGTCGAGGACATCACCAAAGCCAGACAAGGTGAGTCATCCCGTGGAGGTGAGAAAAGAAAAGATACCTGCAAAGACAAAAGAGAAGTAAAGAATCAGAGGAATAAGACAGAAAGAGTCTCTATCAAGAACCACTTTGGTCCCCCTCCTCTGATAGAGCGACAAGCCTTTACGCCACTCAATACTTCGATGAAGCATATCCTGTTCCAAATATAGGATAATCTTACACTAGCCAGGGAAGATGAAGACTGCTCCAAACTGTAGGAGCCTGAACAAGTATTGTCATTTCCATTGCAACCATAGCCACGATACTGATGACTACTTTGATCTTAAAAGGCATCGATGAGGTCATACAACGTGGAAAGTTGCTGCAATATGTTGTTGGCAGAGGACAAGCCCCGTTGCCTAATAGAAACCAAGATGACAAAGAGCATCAGCAACTCCTCGAAGAGATCCAGATGATCTCCAGAGGGTTAGGAGGAGGAGATGACTCCCACTTTGCCCGGAAGGAGCATGTTAGGAGAGCTAGACAAACGGAGTCAAATGATTTTTGCCTGATGAAGACGCCCCGACACGGGGAAGAAGAAGTCATCTCATTCTCAGACAAGGACCTTGAGGGGATCCAATTCCTTCATGATGACCCTCTGATTTTAATCATGATGGTAGTCAACTACCAGGTTAAGAGAATTTTGGTGGACAGTGGCAGGTCTACCGACATCCTCATCTAGGTAGGGAAAGACTACAGCCCATTAGAACGCCCCTCATCGAATTTTCAGGTGAAATGGCTTATCCTTTGGGTTCCATCATCTTGTCTGTCATATCAAGGACAACTCCAAGAAGCTTCACCATCATGATAAAATTCATAGTGCTCGACTACCCCTCTGCCTATAATATCATCCTTGGATGTCCCGAACTCAACACCTTAAGAGCAATGTCGTTCACCTATCACCTTGTTCTCCGTTTCTGAACTCTTTGAGGGATTGGAGAAATTAGAGGAGACAAGTCGCCCCCAGATAATGCTATTTGGTCTCTATGAGGATAAAGAAACCTCAAGAAGCCCTCTAAGTGATGACAACACACTGGAAATAGGGAATCATTGGCCCATCCAAGGGACGTCAAACACCTAAAGAGGTATTATCAATAGCAGATTACAAGCCAATGACTCTCAGTTTATTTGTTATTTATTGTTTCAGTTGATTAATTTTGTTATCTATTATTTTATGAAATAAAACTTTATGAAGATTATTGTGTCCAAAACTGTCTTGCTTTCATTTCACAAAGTTTGTAAACAGCTTAAAAAAGTCAGAACATGACCTAACAACAAGGTAGACAAAAAGATAAAAGTCGTCATACTCCTGACGATGACTCACTACTTCCCAATCTGCTCTCATCAAGGCTCTCCCCATCACCATATGTCCTTGGGGCCTCATATGGAATGAAGGTAGATAAATCAATAGCAAGAAAAATTGCTAAGGCTTTTCTCCTAAAATCTTCATAACCATCAATAAAAGCACCTACAACAGCCCTTTCAACAACTTCCCTCCTCATCTCCATCTCAATGGAATGAGCATCTGCCCTGGTGGCTCTCTCACGAGCTACTCGCAAGTCAGCCTCTACCATAGCAGCCTTTTTCCGAGCTATACATAGCTCGGCCTCAGCTCCTATGGTCTTCTCACGGAACGCTCGTAACTCTGATTCTGCTCTCGTGTAGGCAGTCTCCTTATCAGCCTCCAACTTGGTGGCTCTCTTGTAAGACGTCAAAAGCTCAGCCTCAAGAGATACAACTCTCTCATGAGCTAGCCCCTCATGCTTGCCTATCTATTTCCGGATCCCTAAATGCCTCTCTAAGCTTGGTCGTCCTTGAAAAAAGGCAAGGAAATGTGGCAACCACCTACAAGCATCCAAAAAGTAGAACATGAAAGAAGGGAGGCAGATACAAAATCAAGGTTGAGTAGAAGGCAAATCCCTCTATCGCGGTATTGATAATGCCTTCTGGACCTCAAGAGCCAATCTCTCTGATAGCCCTGGGAGTCACAAATCTCCAAAGGCATTCTTTTGCTAAACTCACATCCTCCAATATGGACACCGAGCCACTACTAGAAGCAGGGCAGGTATATGGAGCTACAGTCATTGTAGAAGATCGCATTGGAGTCTTAACCCTACATCAGTACTAAGGCTAGCTCTGGAATGCCAACAAGTCGTAGCAAGGGAGGGAATGAGGGCACAATCGGGTCCTGTCTCTTGGGAAGTAACCTGGCCATCGGACCTCGGCCGAGAAGTATTGGGGGCATTAAACTTCACCCTCTTAGAAAGAGGAGAAGACGCCGCCCTAGAAGCATTAAGAGCCTCCACTCTTACTCTATCAACGGTGGTACCTGTGAAATTGGGATAAGAAAAAGAATCTATTGTATCGCAATTATCAAAATTTATTGGAAAGATCAAATACTTTTCATCTTCTACTTAGGAGGGGCTCTAGGATGACTCGCCACACCACAACAAGGTCCTGCCACCACCGACAAACCCCGTCCTTAAATCCCAACAACTGTTGGAAATCATGCAACAACTAGTTAACCAAAACCAACAGATCCTCATGTTGAGGATGTCGTCAAAGCAAGGTGATATGAGTCATGATGTTGTCAGGAATACAAAAGTAGACACGTGCAAATTCTATTTTTTCACTAATTTATGTTTAAAACTCAAATTCAGTGAAAAGTAAACATTTTTTTGACATTGGTAGATCTCAAAAAAATACCCAAATTCCAAAAAAAAAAATGTCTCAAACGGACAACCGAGCGCAAAGTTATGGCCGTAAAAAATTTTGTCATTTTTTCATCATTTTGTAATACTCCAGCCATGCCAGCGCCCAAGGCGCCGCCTAGCATCCCAGGTTTTGCCCTCTTTTCCTTCGGCATCGCCCAACACGCCTGGCCTCACCTCCACACTGCTCGGCTCATGCCAGATGTCACCCAACGCCTCGCTAGCATCACCCAGCGGCTGGGCTTGCGTGATGGCGCCACCTATTGTTGTTGCAGCCCTGCCCCATCTGTCAACTAGCCCACACAAGGGGTCACCCACTGAAGATTTAATTGTTGCCCACCTCATGTCTTCACCAGCAGTGCCTGCACCCAGCCAACCGACGACATCGCCTAACGCACTAAGGGGGCCACCCAAGTCAACTGAGTCAGGGGCGCCGCTCGTAGAGCCAATAGCATTGCCAAAACCATTTGGGGCATCGCCCAGCTTGCCAACCTGCTTGTACTTCCAGCCTATGAGGCATTGCCAATCACCCTATAGGCGCCGCCTTGATCAGCTATGGCATCGTAGATCACAGGATGGATTTCATCTCCTTCACTGCCCTTTGTGGCAATGCTAATTGTGCCCTGGACGCTGCTGATTGGCCACTCCATGAGTGTTGCCTAGCCTCCCTGAGCTTGCTCCACCACTTCCTTGATTACTGATCTGTTTGAGTGTGGAGGGCGCAATGACGCCAATCAAGGAGTCCCCTGTGTTTTCCCTGGCGTTGAGGTCCTTTTTTCCATCATCTTCCCGAGCGCTCTCTCTCTCTCTCTCTCTCAATGGTTTATGAAGTAAGGATGTGAAGGGTGTTTCTAAGCCTTAGTTCCAAAGGAGATGATTTGGAGAAGATGGGGATGCTCTTTAAAGTCCTAAAGATTGGTGCCCTAGATAAAAAAGGGGGTTTCAAATTTAGCAAAGGTCCAACACAGGGGACGATGGTTAATGCAATGGGTGATGAGTGATCGTGAATACAATGGGATGGGAAGATGAAGGAGCTACAGTGGGTAACAAGGTACTTGATCTTCCTTAGCAAAGAGCTCACTCATGCCCTCAATCCCTTGACATCCCAAGGGGCTTGGAGCATAGGAGGCACATGATGAGCTCAGATCCAATTGGGTCAAGCCCAATTCATGGAGTAAGCCCAAATTAACTACAAAGTACATCAAGTTCAACTCATGGATTCGGTCCAGTCCAAAGTTCAAAGAGTCCAATAAGATTAGCGCACGTGGGCAGCAATTATCGGAGTAGCCACTCTTGAAGATCACACCTATCTTTAATTGTACTTATTCTTAGTTGTAGCTATCTACTCCGAAAGACTAGTAACCTATTCCTTCACGCCAGCACCTCAACTAGGTCTCTGTGCCTATAAATTGTAAGTCTTCTACACATGAGGGACATATCTCTACATTCCACAGATAGTTATCTTTCTTATATCTATCTTACCACACCTAGAGCTTACTCTTACTCTCTCTCTACGACCGACTACTTTATCAATAAAGTCTTACAGCCATCGTTGTCACCTTCATAATGGAGTAGGTCACTCTAACCGAATCACTCTAAATATGTGTGTTACTTGTGTTGATCTCATCTTTATATTTATTACATTTATTACCTATATTAATTACTCGACATGTGGTGTATAAATTTACTTTTATGCATCATCACGAATAATAAATGAGTTAAGTTAATATCAGACAAGAATAATAAAAAATGACACGTTTACATGCAAGATTCTTGTCATCTATGATCCATTATTGAATTGTTATAAAATATATAACACTAGTTTGGGAAAAAAAAAAAGGGGTCAGAAATCTGACTAGGTTTATTCCGTGACCTGGTTTGGACAGTGACTGTTTGCCTGCCTACATGACCCATCTCTACGGTGCGTTGCACAAGCCAACTGACAGGATTTGCTTGCGAAACTACAAATTTGACCCTACTTTCACAAAAAACCAATGTCTGTGAGGCCATCAAATGTTTGTCAATCTGGGTTCCACAAATATAATAATAAGTTGGCAACCAAAATCACATTAGTTTTGGATCTTAGTGCACTGGCTATATTGGTCAATTCGAACAAGACATGATAAGAAATATATCGGATTAGTATTAGGACACCGGACAGGGGTAATGAAATAGGTTAGGTTAGAGTTAACTATTACACGATACAAACCTAAAATAACACGGCTTGAACAATAATTCAATTGTTACCCCTAATCAGATATACACAGTCTTTCTCTCACACGTGAAAAAATTGTTTCTGTAACTCTAACTTTTGACGCACATGTGATATCGGAAAAATCTTAGCCACGAGTAAGACCCACCTCTTTTGAATGGAAAATGTTACACAATTCAAATGAAATTAAAAAATTAGAACTCAAATATATATCATCCTTTGAATGAATATTAGATGAATAAGTTTCACTGAAAAAGTTGATAAAATCTACTCATTAAAGAGATAATATGCATCTTCATTTGAGTTATGTAGTATTACTTTTTTCAATATCATTAGAGTTAAACAAAAAAAAAATTGCTTTTATTTAACTTCTGCTGCAGCACATGTCAACTCTGAAGGTTACACATCCGGCAGTTCCAATTGCACAAGCAATTTTGCAGTTTTGCTCACCACGGTTTATGACTTGGCTCATTTCAGGCCATCGGTGAGATGAATTCCCTTTCTCTTTTTTTTTAAATGGTCAGGGATATTTTAATTAATTTATGCACACCTTGATTAATCCCCTCTCCAATTCAATTAAAGGCAAATCATTCACGCCGCGACTAGGTTATTAATAAAAAATAAATCTCTCATGATCTAGTCCCAAAAAATTATCAAAATTCGAACTTAAAATATCTATATTTATAGTGCATTCCAGTTACCACTTGGACAACCTTTCGGATTGATTAATTCCTTTTCAATTTGCTTTCAAACTTAGATATGCCCAGTGACAGAAACTTCCCCACTGCTTTGGGGATTAAGCATCAATAACTTTCTTTGATGTTGTCAGTGTTCTTTTGTGCTCATGAGTACAACTAATTTGCAATATTTTGGGTTCAGATTTTTTTTTTTTTTT